GACTCACAAAACTTGAAATGTGCCGTTCCCTTGTATTCTTATTCCTATTTATTCTATTTATCCCTTTTGTATTCTCTGTATTTATATATGTGTATATATGGTATATTTCTGCTCACATTCTGCAACTTCTGTCGGTGCTGTGCTACTGGAAACTGAATTTCCCGGAGGAACCCATCTGAGGGATAAATAAAGTTTAATCTAATCTAATGTAATCTATAGGGCAGTACAGGGCTTTGTATCTATCACTCGCTGTGATATAATGAGCGGTCACGGTCACGTGGCTTTCCGTTGCCCTGGAGGTCCACCCATTTGTAGTTAGAGCAACAGAAGACGCCTGCACCAGTTCAGCCATAACTTTAAACTTTTCCTGCTCATACATGCTTGGAACGATCTTGTCACACTGAAGTGGACGCGCAACGAGATATCATAGCATGGCTTAAGCACGTTCATCCAGAGCGTTCTCACTCCCGAGGCGTAACATGTCGACGTTTTGTCACGTCCCGCGGCGTTCCTGAGGAACGCGAAAGGAGACCTTCGGCGTTCTTATGGTACGCAGCGGGTTATGGCTGGAATCCAGTGCAATGACGCTCCCGCGGTAGTAGACGTTCCAGCCCTGTATTCCAGCCCTAAACCTAACCTTATCCCTAGCCCTGACCATAACCTTATTCCTGACCTTAACCAGGACTTTAATGATGTTAAATAGCGTGTTTCTAAGCAATTTGAAGAAAAAGAGCGAACATGTGTAGGTTCAGTCCAGACGGTTCTCATATTTCCTCTTTTTCCGAGGTCGTCATTTAGGAATGTGGTGGGTAGCCGAAAACGTAATATGGTGACGATTTGTCACCTAGCGTAAAATGTTACGCTTTGGGAGTGAGAACGGGTTGGTTCATCACAGTTTAAACCTCTTGTTTTACACAACGGAATACGGCCTCCCGTCTGCAGCTAAACACCCCAATAGCTTTAGCCCGGTCGGATTGGGCAGCAAAAGGCTGCTTAAATGCCGCAAACTCATTTATATATATGTATATATTTAAATAGGTATATATATAAATATATATATATATCTATATATATAGATCTACAGATATCTATATCTATCTCTGTCTATCTATAGATCTATATAGATCTATGGATCTATAGATAGATGATGGAAGGTGTTGGAAGTAGCTTTAACAGTTTATGGCTCAGGTGACTGGAGTGTTTGATGATCCTCCCAGCTTTCCTCGGGCACCGCTTCCTGTAGATGTCCTGGAGGGAGGGAAGTTCACTTCCAATTATCCTTTCGGCACACCAGACCACTCTCTGGAGAGCTTTGCGGTTGTAAGCGGTGCTGTTGCTATACCTGGTGGTGATGCATCCAGTGAGGATGCTCTCAATGGCATAGCGGTAGAAGGTCCTGAGGATGCGGGGACTCATGCTGAATCTTTTCAGTCTCCTGAGAAAGAAGAGGCATTGCTGCACCTTCTTCACTGTATTGTTTATGTGTACTGACCATGTAAGATCCTCCGCCAGATGTACACCTAGAAAAGAGAAGCTACTCACTCTCTCCACAGCACTGCTGTTGATGGTGATGGGGGTGTGTGCTTCTCTGCACCCTCAGAAGTCCACTATCAACTCTGTTGTTTTTGTGACGTTGAGGGTGAGATGGTTGTCTCGGCACCAGTATGTCAGGGTGCTGACCTCCTCTTTGTAAGACCCACCACTGTAGTGTTGTCCGCATACCTTACAATGATGTTGGAGTTGCTTGTGTCTGTGCAGTTATAGGTGTAGAGTGAGTACAGGAGAGGGCTCAGTACACACACCTGTGGGGCACCAGTGTTCATTATGACGGGATACGAGGTGATGCTGCCCAGACTGACCGCTTGGAATCTGTCAGACAGGACGTTAAGGATCCAGCTGCACAGAGAGCTCGTCAGAGCTGCCTAGATCTTGCCTTTTCCTGTCCAGCTTCGAGGGAACGATGGTATTGAATGCTGAGCTGTAATCGGCAAACAGCATTCTCACATACATGTCTCTGTTCTCCAGGTGCGAGAGGGCAGTATGTAGTGGCAGGGCTATGGTGTCATCAGTGGACCTGTTGTGGCAGTAAGCAAATTGTAGAGGGTCCAGTGAGTCGGGTAGTGCAGAGCAGATGAAGTGAATGTGAATGGCCAAAATGCAATGGTAGGTGTGTGTGGCTGGAGTTCTTTCTCTCTACCATCACCAAGAGATTGTTAATATGATAAAAGAGATCAGAAATTGTTCAGTAAATTACATTTTTTTGGCATGGCTTTAAGAATATTTGTAGACTGAAACCCTGAAAACAATCACTGAAAATTATATTCAGTCCTTAAGTCGAAAGCTTGTTACACTGTGGGATTTTGGCCTGTCTAAAAACCAAAGTTGTATCCCAGGGAAAAATTTAGAATCCCTGCAAATTTCAAACACTGACTTTGTAGATCAATGAGATCATTGCATTACTGTATCTAGGGAGCTGGAGCAAGATGGATGTACTGTATGAACAATCTGACAAAACAGGATGAAAACACATTGAAGAATTATAGTATCTTTGGTCACAGCTCCAAAACGGTGGTTCGGTGTTATGTAGTGAGAGAGGTTCAATATTGGTAATTTCACAAATTAAGAATGATCACAAAATGTGATTCCAGTTTTAACATACGCCTACTAACAAACAAGCAACAGAAATGCACAGGCTGTTCAGAAGCTTGCTTGCACGATGTGTCCTCCAGCTGTTATGATAATGGAGCCAAAGACCATGTAGAATGAAAACGGATAGCTTAGGAATCGTAGCAGTATGTTTCAGGCTGTGATACAGTGCGTGTTATCATTGTCTTTGTGTCTTACCCAAGTTTAGTCCATTTGCAACTTGGAAATAAATTTTAAGATTTCTGATATTTCCCTTTTTGTTTCCGCCTTAAAGTGGATACATGAGTTCAACTGACACTTTTCACATGTGGAGGAAAATACATTTATAACTGATATGAAGAGAGGACACTGATAATACACAGACAGATAAAACAGAGATGAAAGCACAGACCAACCACCCTCCTCCAAGTATCTGCTTATTTTGTTGCTGCTGGTCAGCAGCAGCAGCCACCAACCACCTACAGGCAAAGTAGCACATTTAAAGGAAAAGCTGACAATGACTCCTGGTGGTGACCAGGAGTCATGTTTTCAGTTTTTCTTCTAATGATGTTTTTTTGGATTGAATTTAGAAAATATATTTGGATTTTATAGTTATCTTGAACAAAACAGAAATCATCACATTGTTTGGAGCAATTTTCCCAAAAAGATTTTTATGAAAACACACATGGAGAAAATAAAAACATTAAAAGTATAATTTAACAAATAAACACTTGGGTCAGTGACTGAAAAGTAATGATAAAGTTTAAGATGTTACTATTTCAAAATAAAATCTCCACCACAATCAAACATTACAGTGAAGTGAATACATTTGAAGAAAGACTGAAGTAGCTGTAACCTGTGACACAAAGGTGTACATTTGATAGTATGCAAGAAATCAAAACCTTTGCCTGTTATACTAAAAGTACAAAATGTAATTGTGAATAAAGAAAAAATGTTCCCAGATCATTTTCACTTCACTAAAATGTTTCAGCTTAAATGAACTTCTGCATTTGCTGTGTATATGATTGAGTTACAGACCACTGGGCACAAACGTTTGATGGGTCCTAGCTCCTTACATGACTACTGCTTTCTTACACTGTCAATCCAAATACTGACGTCATTACTCTGGTCCAATCATCTTCTCGCTTGCCTTCTTTGAGCCAATTAGCCTCTGCTTTGCATGGTTTAAATTGGTGCTCGCCACCATTCTTCCTTTCAGACTCCTCCCCATTGCTATCTCAGACACAGAGGAGTTCTGTCCTACCTCGATGAAAATACAAACTTCCTCGATCTAAATGACACAAAGTAAAGTTTGGGAGGGTTTAGGCTCCCAGTGAGCAGAGGGTAATTCAATATAAATCCATCTACTTACCAAGTTTACACTGGGACATGTGTCTTTTTTTATTCTGTTTTTTGTAACAGTGGTGATTTGAGTGTAAAAAAATATGAATTAATGAAATTTAGTTTAAGGTGGGACACAAAGATCATGTAGTGACTTAGCCATTCATGGAGATGCAACAATGTAGTGTTGTGAAAAAGTACTTGTCCCCTTCTTTTCTTCATTTTTTGTGATTTTGTCACAAAAATGACACGAGTAAGTACAAAATGTAGTTTTTTATGTTGATGGTTGATGATGATTTAATTTATTAAGGGAAAAAAGCTATCCAAACCTAACTGGCCATGTGTGAAAAAGTAATTGCCAGTGCCATCCTTGGCATAAAGTGTGATAACCAGTAATGAGTCTTTCACATGGCTGTGGAGGAATTTTGGCCCACTCATTGAAGAATTGTTTTAATTTAACCACAATGGAGTGTTTTTGAGCATGAATGTCCTGTTTAAGGTCATGCCAAATCCTCTCAATCAGATTCAAGTCCAGATTGTGACTAGACCACTCCAAGACCTTTGTTTTGTTGTTTTAGCTATTCAGTGGGAAGTTTGCTGTTGTGTTTTGGATCATTGACCTGCTTCCTAAGCTGTGTGTACTTGAGCTTCAGAGCACGAATTGTTGGCCACACAGTCCTTCAGGATTTTCTGGTATAGAGCAAAATTCATGGTGTGGCACTGTTTTTTACTTCAAGTCATGTTTCTCTATTGCTATTGCTTTATGCTATTATGCGTTTTAAACTAAACTACAGTGTAGTTTAACTAAACTAAACTACACTGTAGTTTAGTTTAGTTAAGGTTAAACTAAACTAAACTTTAGCCCATCCTGGAAGACGGCAACAACCAGTTTACTGCCAACACTTACTTATCACTCATGCTTTCGCTTATGTCCAGATCTGTCCTGCTTCCACGGCATCTCCACACCAGACTAGCAGCTATTTATAAACACAATATTCTCAAAACATTTTGGGAATTTTTACTTTTACACAAAGTGATCACTAAAAATCTTAGTGTTTTAATTACCAACAGTTTAACTTCAGTGTAATCAACCAAAATCAGTTACTGCAGAGTGGTGGGGCTGCTTTCAAGGGCTCCCTTAATCACACGGATTTGCCACATATTTGTTTTGGATTTTTTTTTAACATTTATTTTTATCCCAAATGCCCCACTGACACAGCCCTCAAGAGATCTGTGGTTCCTCCCGGGACTGCGTCAGGGGGCTTTTGCTTGTTAGGGAAAGGTGTGAAAGGGAGAGTGGCTAAACTGCTGGTGCAGAGTATCAGTGCATAATCTGGTTAAAATGACAGATTAAGGTTTAAAGAGATCTCTATCTATACAGTAGTATTCACAGTTGATTTTATGTACAGTAACTACATTATTGGTTACATTGTGCTGCAAAGGAAGCAACAGCATTATTATTAAAAGGTGTTTCCTTTATTCTGTTGTTGACAATTTTATCAGGCAAGTTTTTCCAGCAGGCGATGGTGGAAAGAACGAAGGCGTGCCAAGATCTCCTCCAGAGTGGAAGGAGGAGTCAAAATACACAGCCTGAGAGAGAAGGAAAAAGAAACACACCAACACAACATTAACATATACTACCTTGAAAAAGAACAGTCACATGAAAACTACTTACATTTTTAATGTGTTTAGATCACCAAGCATTTGACCTTTGGAATAGTGCCTGCATTTGCTCGATTTTACCAATTTTAAATATATACAACGAAACTAAATAGAGCCCTACATTTCATAAAGTTACAAATAAAGGATCCAGATTGTGTGCTAATTATTAGAACCTAATTATTAGTATCTGATTAACTAGTACTTATATAGCATTTCTTGCACTTGCTCTAACTGAGCACTAGAAGCACTTTATTACAAGACATGTTTCCCTATTCACACACATTCATATAATGCTTTAATCTGTACTAAAGTGTTAGCCAGTAAGCGTGGCTTCACAGAAAGATCTGTGAAACTGGTTTATTTTATTATATGTCTTTGTGTTGTTTCTGTGCTGCTAACCAACCAGGCTAGCAATAGCTGACAACTCTGTAATATGGCCACTTCTGGCTTTAAAAAACAACAACAACAACACAGTTAGGGACTTGAATGTTAACATTGAGGCTTCAGAAACCAAAGAGTGACAGTTCGTGGGTTAACTTAATCTTTTACATACAGTTTGCTATTTAAGATTTTTCAAAAACCTCTTTAAATAATGCGGTAGGAATGAGAATGCAATTCCAATAAAATTAAGCAATTAGCAATCAAAAAAGACCCAAGTAAAAATGTTAATGAGATAATGGTCAGCACAACAGCATCAGCAAACTGTTTATTTTGTCTACAAATCATTCTCTACATTTTTTCACAAAATCACACATTTAGGGGACTAAGGGCTAATTAAAGATCTGACTAGAAACATAAAATAAAATTTTACCTGATGTGATAGTTTTTATCTTCCTGTCCATTCTCACAACCTGCCCCCACACAAATACCCTCTTCTCTCAGCAACCTCTGACAGTAAAGCACATCCGCCTTCACTTCCAGCCTCTGAAATTAAAGACAGTAAAACATTGTATCAATTTATGATTTTCACTGTTACATAAAAATGCAAGCAATTAAATGCTGGATTTTTAATGTTAACAATTTTTTTTACTCATATATACTGCTCAAAAAATGAAGGGAACACTTGAAAAATCCTAACTTTTCCTGACTGAAATCCTTACTTTTGGTAAGATTATAAATCTCGCTCATCCAAGTTGTGGGAGACGAAAAAATGCTTCTCCCGCTAAATTGATTCTTTCATTCACCCAAGTGACAGAAGAAGTGACTTGGGTGAGATCCAAGTGAAGAGAGACCTTTTTTTCTTCAGCGTGCATTTATGTTCCCAAACTGGGAAGTCTAATGTGATGTGGGGCAGTTTATAAGTTAATATAAACTGCAGTGGGCTTTTATTTTGACATTATTTTAATCTTAAAAGCAAAGCTGTAAAAACATACTGGATTAAATTTTACCCCTGAAATTTAAAAAAGTAGGAATGTAAAGTTCCCTGAAATCGAATTTAAAAAAAAAACAGGCACACAATCAGAATAACATCCATATTTTTATCTTTGAAATCTCACCTTAGCCTCCTCTACGATGTGAGGTGGCAAGTGTACCCGGGGATAAAGAAAGAGTCCTGCCATTGATGGCTGACAGCTCATCCCTTCTACTCTATTCAGAAACTCACACGCCCGTTTAGCATTCTGGGAAAGAGTATCCTCAATATGATGAATCTCCTTTAAGAATAAAATAAATATTACTGTAGGCTGGGGAGCTCCTTGAAAAACACTCATTTACTCAACTGCAGTTTTATTCAACATATTGTATCTCATATCCTCTTGGATGCTATGGCTCACTGGGTCATGCTGACGCTGCACCAATGCTGTAAATATTCACAAGACTTTGGATTCACCTAACAGAGTATATCAGGGAAAGGAACAATCCCCCTGCCAGTTTAACAGTTCAAGTGTTATGGTAATGGTAAATGGTAAATGGCCTGCATTTGTATAGCGCTTTTCTAGTCCATAGGACCCCAAAGCGCTTTACACTACATTCAGTCATCCACCCATTCACACACACATTCACACACTGGCGATAGCAAGCTACATTGTAGCCACAGTTGCCCTGGGGCGCACTGACAGAGGCGAGGCTGCCGGACACTGGCGCCACCGGGCCCTCTGACCACCACCAGTAGGCAAACACGGGGTTAGTATCTTGCCCAAGGATATTTGGCATGCAACCAGGGTGCAGCCTGGGATCGAACTACCGACCTTCTGATTAGTGGCTGACCTGCTGCTATGTGATTGGCTGATTAGATATTTGCATTAATAGCTGAGTCGGTGTACCTTATAAAGCATCTGCTAAATGTACCGTGACAACATGTAATGTGGATGCTGCGGCTTATGATGATAAACCAACAGCAAATCTAATTTCTCTGCAGTTTCCTTTAGTTTTGTGAATGTGTTTATCCTTGTTAAGCTCCTTATTGCATTTTTCCTACAGCATAACTGTTTTGTCTCCATGATTACACTTTAATACAATGCATTTACCAGAGATCCTTTTTGATTAAATAAAGACGTTACCATAGGACAGTCCCCTTACCTGTGTGTATGAGTTATAGGAAGAATCTTCAGGTCTAGGTGGATTAACACTAAGTTCCAGTGCCAGCTGTGGTAACACTGAAGCGCTGGAAATGACAGTTAAGTACTTTTTCACTGCTGGGTCAATGTTGATTACCTCCATATACCCTCCTCTCAGACCACCCCTAAACAAAGCAAATGCAGAGTTTAATAAACAGCATTGATTAACACTGATGAATGCTCTATCATTCAGGAAAGGAAATTCCAAAAGGTTAATTGTATTGATCTGGACATTGTATTTTCAGAGGCAGAGAAAACGCTTCTCGAACTCATTCCAGTGACTCCTTCAGTCACTCAAACCAGTGACTGACTAGGATGAGTGACAGAATCAACTTTGTAGGGTGTTCTTATATTCCCATCAGCAGTCGATTTGTATATTAAAAATGGACCCTATCGAGATGTCAACCACTTTTATGCTCTGAAGCTTTAAGAAAAAGTCAATTTTAGAGTTATTATATTTGAAGGCAAAAGTGATCATATTTAGACATGAGTGTTCATTTATCAACTAACAGTAGCAAGCTTGGTTAGAAAGTCCATAAACTGTACAAGTACATAGATATCTGTGAAATAGAGCTAACTAATAAGGACATTGGGATAATAGGGACAATGACTAACACATGTTGAGGTTAGACATTGATCATTGAATGACACTCACTCTCCTATGTGGGCTGTGGAAATTGAATGGAAAGACACCAGCTCCATTGTCTCAGCATACATTTTACCCATCTCAGACAGCACTTTCTTGTAGGAAATAAATTCTTTGTCCTGGCCGTACACACTATCCTGGTGCACCTAGACAGTACAAGTGAACATCAAAAGAAAAAGTGAAAAGTGAAAACCTGCACAACTCCTCCAAAGGGCAAGGGCTAAACTAAAACAATGAGGTTTTATGATATTTGAATTACTACGTGCTGACCTCGAGCTGCTTTTATAATAGCCCACTGCTTTCTGACCTTGGAACTATGATCTTGAAGGATTACATACTAAAATTGTGTATTTTATTGTCTTTACCCATATGGTTGGAGAAGAATTTGCTTATGTGTGATTTTCTGAAACATTATAGCATCATTGTGGTAATAAAAACTGTTGTATAGCTCTCTCCATGCCCTTTTTAATATGACATATTACTTAACATGGTTTCTTGAAGTCAACCTTGGATGCTAACAATGAAAGTTTGAAGACAATCAGTTCCCTCATCTGCAAATGGTTACTGGACTTCCTGACCAACCGCCCCCAACATGTCCGGCTGGATAACCGCTGCTCATCTACCATCACAATGAACACCGGTGTACCACAAGGCTGTGTGATGAGCCCTTTCCTCTACTCCCTCTTCACCCACGACTGCAGACCTGCTGATGGTTCCAACACCATCATTAAGTTTGCAGATGACACCACGGTGATTGGCCTCATCAGTGACAACGATGAGGCCGCCTACAGGGAGGAGGTGGATCGTCTGGCTGAGTGGTGCGACACAAACAACCTGCTGCTTAACACCGAGAATACCAAGGAGCTCATCGTGGACTACAGGAGGAATGCTGACCCACATCCACCCATCCACATTAAGGGGACGGCTGTGGAGCGTGTGAGCAGCTTCAAGTTCCTGGGAGTCCACATCTCCGAGGATCTCACCTGGACGACCAACTGCTCCAAGCTGGTCAAGAAGGCTCACCAGCGCCTCTTCTTCTTGAGGACTCTGAGGAAGAACCACCTGTCCTCAGACATCCTGGTGAACTTCTATCGCTGCACCATCGAGAGCATCCTGACCAACTGTATAACAGTCTGGTACGGGAACTGCTCTGCCTCGGACCGGAAGGTGTTGCAGAGGGTCGTGAAAACTGCCCAGCGCATCGCCGGAGCACCACTTCCTGCCATAAAAGACATCTACAGGAAGCGGTGTCTGAAAAGGGCTGGGAAAATCATCAAAGACCCCAGTCACCCATCACATGGACTCTTCACCCTCCTGCCCTCTGGGAGGCGCCACAGGAGCCTCCGGACTAAGACCACCAGGTACCGGAACAGCTTCTTCCCCACAGCTGTCAGACTCCTGAACTCTGCCTCCTGACATCTGACCCACGTTAACTCATGGACTGAACATACACACACACACACACACACACACAATGGACAACTGTACCCTCAAACACACAATAATAACATGGAGTGAACCACCACTCACAACCACTAGCACTTTATATAGCCTCTGTAGAAATTATCCACACCCTCACTTACCTTAACTGCACTACTGTATAGCCCTGTGTAAACAATCATTCTGTACATACGATAATTTTTAACCCTACAACTGTTTACAACTTGCATAGTTCCCATTTCTGTATAGCTGTATATCTCAGATTTCTGTAAAGTTATTTATTTCATATTCTGTATAGTTTTTCATATTTATATCCTGTCCATATCCTGTCCATAGCTTGTACTCACTACAGCCTGTACATACTTATAGTTATAGAATATTCACAACATACTTCATACCGTGTACATTATAACATAATAGACCCATTTCTGTAATATACTTACATATCTATATTATTGCTAATATATATTGTAATATATCTATATCACTAAGCACTTCTGGGTGGATGCAAACTGCATTTCGTTGCCCTGTACCTGTGCATGTGCAATGACAATAAAGTTGAATTCTATTCTATTCTATTCTATTCTAAAAAAAATTGTGGGTAATATAAGTTTGTTTTGTTTTTTTTACATATTTTTATATTTGGTTTCACTTGATTTTCACAAACATTAAGTCAGCTCGAGCTGTTACTGGTAGCTACCATCACACAAACTTTGTACATGATATTTTGAAAACTGTGGAGGTTAGACTGCTAACAAACAGGCAGGCAAAAACAGCCAGACTGATGATGTACTCTTTCTCTTTGAGGGGAGAGTAAACGTTATGCTTGTGGTCACCTCTTCAGCCAGTATGATGAGGCCATTGGTAGCAGCAAAGTGAATCACCTTCTCAATAGTTTCTCTGTCTTGCACGTAACCTACCAGGGGAAAAGTCACATTATTGAATGAGCTTCTATGAAGTAGCTGTAAACCACAAATCCACATGTGCAGTGCAAACAGCTAGAAAGAGACTCACATTTTAGTTTTTATTTAACTCTTAGGCTTTAAGACAGTTGACCTCTTAGCATGATATAGTTTTAAAAAGAGGACGAGGATTCTCTTAACGTATACACGAATATAGAATAGATCAAAAGCTGTGCAGGATGTACCAACAATGGGCTGCTCACCTGTAGGTTTTCCTGGGTTGCTGATGTATATGGCTTTGGGCTCACAGTGGACTCTTCCAGCCTCTAAAGCTCTATGCAGCTCATCCAGGTTTACAGCCCAGCCTTGTTCTTCAAAAAGACGGTATGGAACCAGTGCCAGCCCAGTCATGTCCAGCAGCATGGGCAGAGTATGTGGACAGGGCATGGGGGTCAGCACACCTGTCTGAGTTTTGCCCTCTCCGCTGGTAAGCAGGTTCAAAAACACCTATAGTGCAAAAATTATGTTGTTTTTGTCATAATAATAATAATAATAATAATAATAATAATAGATGAAAATAGTGGGTAGTTTTGTGCATGATCAAAAGATGTGGTTGCAGCAAAGTGGTGAATTCACAGTAAGGAATGGTGTGGGACTGATACACAGTGGCGGTGGTGCTCATGGTCAGTGTTCGGTTACATCAAGCATAGCAGAGATTAATTTTAATTTAAGCTGAAGAGAGTTGATTACAGCTTAGACTCATTCACTCAAGTCCTCCTTTATGCCAGTTATATACTATGATAAAGACACTGTTAGTGTAGGAAATAGAAATCAGTCTAAATAGCTGGGGGGTTTTTTGTTTTTCATTCACTGCTTGTATCCTAGATACAGATTCAAGCTAAGTACATTTGTATTCTCGTGTGCTGATATTTTTATATTAAGATACCAGCAGGTTCAGTTGCCTTTGTATAAAAATAGATGGTAGAATTGTCCTTCAAGGAGCTACCTTTTACTTTCTTACTCTGAGTACATTTCAGAGTCTGCACTTGTTCGCTTCTGCAACTTCTTAAGTGAAGAAGTTGCAGAAGTACGTTAACTTTTACTGCATTTTACTTTTCCTTTTTCTTGGCTTTGCCAAGTGGTTACATTTCTGGTGGTTACAAGTTAAAGGAATGGTTGGCCTGCGTCTCACAATCAGGATTTAAAGTGTCTGTCAGAGTCCAGAGAATAAGAATGATTTGCTAAGAAACACACCACATCACTCACAGATTACATCTGGTGGAACACCTTTCCAAGAATTGGCCAATTTTTAAGCATTTCTTAAGTAACTAATTATACAAAGCAGAAAGATATAGCTTTATTTTAAAAAAGAAAACAAAAAGAAACCTTCATTAAAATGTTCAGTATAAAGTGTCACACCGACAAACTCTTCTGTAATCCAGTAGTTAAGATAATGTCTTCTGGATGAGAAGGCACGCCACCATCTCGCCTTGTGATAAATTCAGAAATGCTTTTCTGGACTTGTGGTAAACCACCGGAGGTTGTGGAGTATGAACCTGTCACAGGCAAAGTGATTAGACTGGCCAGCAGAAGCATTTATACTCACTTTGTGCATTGCTTGCAGATATAATTGTTTTTTCTCACCCACACTCCCTCCAGAACACATGTCCAGAAGCTTCTGTGCCCTTTGCCTGACATCCAGAGGAAGGCTTTTTTCTTTGAGGAGCTCAGGGTACAGACACACTGCCATAACCTAAGAAAGCAATCAGAAAGTGATGTGCTCAGGTTGACAGAGAAGTGCAGGTAAAATTCACAGATGATACATAAAACACCAACCTGGCGAATAAATGAGATAGGTGGCATTCCTGCCTTGTGTGGATCACCTGAGCTGACATCAATCACACTCTTGAAGGGTTTTTTTACACTCTGGAAAAATACATCAGTGTTTATCAATATTGACCGTTTTTTAAATTGACAGCTAAATTCTATCTATGCCAATCATGTACTTATCTCTTTAACCCTTTGACATTTGGTTTTCCCTTGGCTAATTTAAACTATATAGAGATAGAGAATGAATTCAATATTAACCATATATGACATAACCATAGCTTATACTTGTGGTTAAAAATGTACACTCATCCTCATCCATTTCCTTGACGTGGAGGTCAAGGAAATGCTGGCCTTTTTTTTTGAATAAGTAGAAGAATAAGAGAGCACAAGGGAAAAAATAGTCTGATCTGTGGCCTAACTATCAAGTTACTATATATATATATATATATATATATATATATATATATATATATATATATATATATATATATATATATATACCACAGGTGGATATAATCCTTTGACAAAAGAGGATAAGCTGCAGATGTGTGGTTGACCAAATTGAATGACTACTATTTACTATTAAACTGCTAACAATGACTCATAATTTATACTGTCTCTCAACTTCTTTACAGCTGACTCACCTGTGCAATCTGCTCTGAGATGCATGCTGCTAGACCCTGCAGGTTCACTGGGGCTCGGATCCCACGCACCCTGGGATTCACGTCCTGCACAGTGCTCATCTCTCCTGATTCAACTGTCTAACTGATCAAGGTCCAGTGAGAGGCCTGGAAATACACTCAGGAGGCGGGTACTTTGTAATTAGAATACCCGCCTCCTGATGAGTCTGGTCTTTAAGAGAAGACGGTGTCAGATTATTCAGCACCTTTTAAATTCAGATTTAGAAAAGAGCAAATGAGGAGAAACTAATACGGAAGAAATATACTCTTTCCTTCAAAGTTGCTGCTGACTGGTACACTCCAGGCTAATCACAGTTTGCCAGTGGTAACGCAATAGTGTTATCTGATTATATCTGAAGTTTTTGTGCCTTAATTGTTAAACTGCCTTTAATATCTGAAATTGTCCATATGACTTTTTCAACTGTGACACTTTTTGTATAAATAAAGCTTAAAAATGAATTTTACATACTTGGATATCAGCATATGTTTGAATCGGAATCCTTTGTAGTTTTTCTGCAGTCTGTTCATTTTGTTCGCTTTTAAATGTTTACCAGAGAAGTCTACTATTCTTAGAACTTGAACTTGTTCGTTTAAGACTTTTCCTACTTTAAAAACAAAAGAAATGTTTTAACCTTGTGACAAGCAGCACAGTCTGGAGTTTAAATATAAAACTAACTGCTTGTTACTGACTGACATAATGGGCCTTAAGTTCAAAAGTATAATCATACAGCAAAATAAGATCTTTTATTATTCCTTGGTGTAATAACGTTTTAAAGAGTTAGTACAAGCAGATATTGTCATGCCTTTTTAAAAAACTGAGTATATTTTAATCTGGGAGTATTTCCTGTAATTATATCTATTGTCGCTCTATGAATTATGTTAACTTTGCAGCTTTCTTCTTGTTTGATGGCAGATACTCCCTTCACCCTGGCCAAAAAGCCTAAAATGACCAAAGAAAAGTGGGAAACAGCTAAACATGAGAGGTTTTTAGACAAAATTGGTGGTTTTTTTCCATTGATTAAGCACTTTTTCCAGCCAAGAGTGATACCATATATGCCCTATAGCTGCAGAAAAGGCTAACATTGTTATCTTTTTACAAAAAAACCAGCTAAACATAAGAGGTTTTTGGACAAAGTGTGTGTTCTCCATTCTTTAAGCACCGGTTCGAGCACCAGTTCGAGCACCGTTTAAGCACCGGCACCATTTCAAAAGTACCGGTTTGGTACTGGTATTGGATAAAACCTAAACGATACCCATCCCTAGTGCTCAGTGTGTCTGGTTTTGCTTCCCCTTGTCTCATTAGGTCTGATTCATCCCAGCTATCTTACCACCTGTTTCCATCCTCTCATTGTCCTGCTTGTGTATTTAAGTCCCGTGTTCCTTCCTGTTAGCTGTTATGTTGTACCTTCACTATACTGTGTTTCTTCCCTCCGCATTCCCACTTAATTCCTAGTTGTCAGTTCCTCATTTATTTTGTAGTGTTTTAGTTTGAGTTTTTTAGTTTCAAGTTTTCTTTTTGTATTTGTAGTAAGTTATGTACAGCGAAATAAAAGCTGCTTCCTTTAGTTCATTCCTCTGTGTCCTGCGAGTCCTGCATTTGAATCCAATATCCTGCTTGCACACAAAACATGACATTAATCGTATGCTAATTGTTGCCTACCTACCGAGCTATGGTTAAGATAAGGTAAACACATTAGAAGAGCAAAGATGGAGGATGAGTGTTAGAAGGATGAGAAAATAAACTTTTTTCAGTAAAAGTTAATGTGGGAATCCCTGATAGGCAGAGACAAATGCAATCATATAGTAAAACAGACGCTGAAAATGGACCAGACTTCAGTCAAGACAACATCTGAGATCCATCCACAACACAAGGTTAATTAAGCTCCATTCTGTCCATGTAATCTTTCAGATATACCACGTGTTCATGTGTGTGTTTAAACATTCAACGATTACATTCCTTTTCAAGATAAATAAAGCACATAGAGACAACATGTTTCCATGCACCTCAATTTATTTAAGATTTCCACAACACATATGAATCAACGATAAGACCTAGACAGTTATAATTCATCTAAAAGCGTCACTCTTAGCTTTGTTCACATTAACTGGAAAACCAAAAAATCTGTTTTATTTGTTGTTGGATATCATCCACCTATGCTTTATTCAAATTTTTTATACAAGCCCAGATAAATGGTGTGGGTTGTATCATGAAGATCATAAAGAATGAAATTTCTGTACCACTTTGTTCGTGGCCCAGGTTAATAATGACTGACTCTAGTGTTGTAAGCTGACAGAGTGCTGGCTAACACTCTAACTTCTAAATAAAGTGCTCTGATTTGTAAAGCTGATATGATGGAGAAAAGGAAGGTTTTGCGTGTGAATGAGACCAGGAAAGAATGAGATGGACATCAATGATTTACTGTGGCACACAAAAAGGGAGCAGCTGAAAGAAGAAGAAGAAGAAGATGCTCACTACTGAGAATCATGAGCATCATGTCAAAACTTCAATATAGCCTATGAACTATTGCAAAGCAGATGTTACTATTGCAGAATGACACTGAAATCTTTCTAAAAAAAATATTATTTTAGTTATACAGACAGTTATTTGAATTATCCTCTTGAGATACTTCACATAAATCTGACCAATCTCAAGTTTACACTTAGTTTAGGCCACCCTCCTCCACAGGGCACTATAAGCTGACTTCTTGCTTCTCTTTCTTTACACTTCTGTTGGGGTCACAGTGCCACCCATGAGACGGCAGTGAAAGGAGGTGAGGCGAGCTAGGACCTCTACCAGGGTGTAATGAGGAACAAGGATGCATAATCTGCGGGAGAGCACCACAAACAAGAGTCAACTTTTTGAACCAATACAACATGCAGTACAAACCTCAAAAGGTTTTATGATTTCATATACTTTACCTCAAATGGAAGCTGTCAGTCATTTCCCCATGTTCACCTGCACCAGCTAATACACCCTCCTCTTCCAGTAATTTCTGACAGTACAGAACATCAGCTTTCAGCCCCAATAACTGAAAACAGAAGTGCATATAGGACAGTATGGCTTTCAACTTTTGTACCATCAGAATGATGTTTTTTTTTTTTTAATATTCACATTTTTTTCACAATCCCTCAATAGTCTGTTTTCAAGGTTAAGCCATGTAAGGAATAAAGATGGAATCAGGTTCAAGTAAGGATAATGGTTTGGCATTCATTTGTAATGGCTAAACTTAGTGGTTAGACTTGGTATTCCATTAACATTGATAATAGACTGATGGAGAAAGAAAGATGGAAGATTGTTGGAACATTTCCCACCTTGGCCTGCTCCTTAATCCCACATGGTAAGTGCAGGCGAGGAAAAACATAGATTCCTCCAAGCACTGGCTGACACCTTACCCCTGGCAGTTTATTTAGGAGCTCCTGAACCCATTGAGCATTATGGGACAGAGTAGCCAGGATGAAGAAGGTCTCCTTTGTGAACAGAACAACCAGTAATTAAAAGTAAGAGTGTAACAGAGGACAACTGTTGGCTTTTGCTGTTTCCTCACCTGCATGTATGTGTGATACGATGGGTCTCCAGATTGTGGCGGATTGACCATAAGATCCAAACCAAGCTGTCCTGTGACTGGAGTACTGATATCACCACACAATGTGTTATCAAAATAATAAATCACCTCTGGATCCATATTAACTACCTCCATGTATCCAGCCCTCAGACCACACCTAAGATGCAGACACAGATTATCTTAATTAATTTATCAATATAATGCATTTAAAATTTGAGAAATGTCTAAACTATTCATTTAAATGCATGCATGGTATAAGAAGGCATGAAAAGTAAAGCTTGAAAGTATATTTCAAAGTGTATTTAGCCTACATTAATTCTAATGATCAGTATGTGGTTGCATAAACAAGCTATGCTATAGAAGCCTAAAGCCCTTTTCACAAAGGATACGGCGCATACAGTGATGCGCACAGAAACACATTCATTTCTATTGCTTGTGGTGCAGAATAATGGTTTACTGCTGCGTCAAGCAAAGTGCAGCGCAAGCATATCAGCAAAAGGTACTGACACATCCCGTGGTCAAAGTTCAAACCAGTTTAACTTTGACTGCTGCGCGTTGTTATGTAAATTTGTGCAACCAATAAAAAAGAAGCCCACAGTTGCACTAAGTTCTATGAGGTGCCGTAAGGGACATTATTACTGAAACGCTCTCACACACACTACTGAAACGCTCTCACACACACTACTGAAACGCTCTCACACACACTACTGAAACGCTCTCACACACACAACTGAAATTTTAGCTCTCACACACACAACTGAAACGCTCTCACACACACTACTGAAACGCTCTCACACACACTACTGAAACGCTCTCACACACACTACTGAAACGCTCTCACACACTACTGAAACGCTCTCACACACACTACTGAAACGCTCTCACACACACTACTGAAATTTTAGCTCTCACACACACTACTGAAACGCTCTCACACACACTACTGAAACGCTCTCACACACACTACTGAAACGCTCTCACACACACTACTGAAATTTTAGCTCTCACACACACAACTGAAACGCTCTCACACATACAACTGAAACGCTCTCACACACACTACTGAAACGCTCTCACACACACAACTGAAACGCTCTCACACACACTACTGAAACGCTCTCACACACACAACTGAAATTTTAGCTCTCACACACACAACTGAAACGCTCTCACACACACTACTGAAACGCTCTCACACACACCACTGAAACCAGAGGCATTTCCGCTGAACAGGAAGTTGTTTCCTGACAAGGAAACTGATGGAAAAAGTGGTATATTTCAAAACACTACAAGGATGTCTACTCAGCAACCTGCTAGTACAGCAGTCCCCAACCTTTTTTGCGCCACGTAAATGATATAAAAATAAAAAAACGATAAATACCATGAAAACCATAAATAGAAATGTGTTCGAATTTTTGTGGAGGAATAAAACCCATTACATAGAAAGATCTCAGCTTGTGAAGGGATACAATAAAGGTGGTATCAAAACTCCAGAATTGGAATTTATGG